TTAGAGTTAAGGTTAAAGGCTTAGGGGATAAGGATTTGGGTTTAGTGTTCTTTTGCTTCTTTTGCTCCACTAGCTCATCTTTTTTCTTATTTTTGTCTCTTATTATATTTTGTTGTTGTTATTTAGATTTTCATATTTATGTGCGTGACAAATCTATTTTGTGTTTTAATTTCAGTTGTTTGTGGAATGGATGTTTGTTTTTGAAAGATTGAGAAGAGTTGAAGGAGAAAAGTTTGCAAGGCGAGCTTATGATTGAAAAGATAAGTATATATATTCGTACTAGTTGCGTTGACTTTATTTTATATGTAAAATATGTTTTACACTTGACTATTTCTACTTGTTTTTGTGTTTATTGTTTGTTATGATCATTCTTTCTATTATTTTCATCCCCAATACTCTCATTATCCGGTAGGTTCCTTTTCATTTATCGTTGTTGTTTTCATGTTTTTCCAAACCTTTAATTGTTTAGCACTTTTTTGATAATATGTATTTTGTTCGCTTTTCTATTCTAGGAATTATGTTTTATTTCTTTTTTTATTACCTTTCTATTAAATTGTTATATGTTGGAAAGAAAGTTGAATTATTTGGAGGAGAGCAAAAGGACAAAGTATGGAAGAATATTAGGAGTTTGTAGCACGTAAAAGAGATTATAGAACGTAGAATTCAAAGAGGTTTAGGCCATAGGGCTCGGGGAATAGAGCTTTCGTGTTTTGGGTTATGGTTTAGTGGTTTAGGTGTTAGAGGTTAGGGATAGGGGTTACTCGAATAAGGGCTAAGAGTTAAGGTTTAAAGGCTTAGGGATAGGGATTTGGGTTTATTGTTTTTTGCTCCACTAGCTCATCATTCTTCTCCTATTTTTGTCTCTTATTATTTTTGTTGTTGTTTTGAGATTTTCATATTTATGTGCGTGACCAATCTATTTTGTGTTTTAGTTTCATTGTTTGTAGAATGGATGTTTGCTTTTGAAATATTAAGAAGAGTTGAAGGAGATAAGTTTGCAAGGCGAGCTTATGCTTGAAAAGATAAGTATATCTATTCGTCCTAGATCCATTGGTTTTCTTTTATATGTAAATTATGCTTTACACTTGACTATTTCTACTTGTTTTTGTGTTTCTTGTTTGTTATGATCATTCTTTCTATTATTTTCATCTCCCAACCCTCTCATTTTCCGATTGATTTCTTTTCATTTTTATTGTTGTTTTCATGTTTTGCTAACCATTAATTGATTAGCATTTCTTTGATAATATGTATTTTGTTCGTTTTTCTATTAAATAAATTATGTTTTATTTTATTTTATTTTTCTATTATCTTTCTATTAAGTTGTTATATGTTGGAAACAATGTTAAATTATTTGGAGGGGAGCAAAAGGATAAATCATGGAAGAACATTAGGAGTTTGCAAAGGGAGCTTATGATTGAAAAGATAAATATATCAATTCGTCCTAGATCCATTGACTTTCTTTTCTATGTAAAATATGTTTTGCACTTGACTATTTCTACTTGTTTTGTGTTTTTGTTTATTACAGGCATTCTTTCTATTATTTTCATCCTCCAACATTCTCATTATCCGATAGGTTTTTTTTCATTTTTCGTTGTTGTTTTCATGTTTTTCCTAACCTTTAATTGCTTAGCATTTCTTTGATAATATGTATTTTGTTCTCTTTTCTATTATAGAAATTTTGTTGAACAGCAGAAGGCACAAAAGTGGCATTAATCCAGTTGAACAGCAGCTGAAATTCCAGCTGTAATCAGGTGAACAGACGCATGAAAAGCAGCTGCAAAGGGTGAGAGCAGAGGCAGCTGAAATTCATCAGAAAAGGCAGCAGTAACACCATAAGAGAAAGCAGCTGGGATCCCGCTGAAAGCCAGTTAATTCAGAGCAGCCGCTGGAACCGAGGAAAAAAACAAAAAAATCAGCTGCAGCAGCATCTGGACTGTTCACGTGAACAGTCCCCTTCTGATCAGAACCCACACACAGCCCCCAGCACTCCTTCATTGCAAAACCAAAAAAACAGTAGAGAGGCCAGCTGAGTGGCTCATACAAGCAAGAAACCAATTGGAAAACCAGCTGGAAAACAAGAAGATTCAGCAGTGCAGCAACCGGACTGCTCACGTGAGCAGTGGACTTGGACAGAGAAGAAATGCTGCTGAACAGAACCGTGAAATACCAACATCTGAGAGGAAGCCAATAAATGCCAACATGATACAGCAGAAGGCGTAAAAGTAACAATAAATCTCAGCTAGGAGCAGCTGAAGTCCCAGCTGAAAACCAACTGTGTTCCAGTCAATAAACCAACTGAGATCAGCTGGAAGAGACAATCTGCAGCAATCGCGAAGCAGTTCACATGAACAGTGCATCCAGACAACAAGCAGCAGAAAAGCAACATGAGAACCCCCACAACAGCATTAAAGAAACAGATGTTGCCTGAAAAACCAGCAGGAACAAGGGAAACCAGCAGAGTCCTCCAAACTGAAAGCACCACATCACAGAGAGAACCAGTTGGAAAGAAAATCAGCTGACTAGAGCAAAACCAGCTAAACAGTCCAATGACCATAAACCATGGCAGCCTTAGCAAAAGCCCCATCATGTGAAATGGATCCATAATATAGGTAAAAAATCACAAAAATGGCGCACTTTTTCCTTGGCGTTTTAACACCTTGTTGATCCTGCATCTGGATTAATTTAGCCCGGAGAGGAATCTTTAAATCAAGTGTGAAATCCGAAGAGGTACCCTCCAAAACAGCAAATCACAAATTCTCCAAAACTTCCAGGCCCTCATGTGCCCTTTCATTATCATTTGAACCATCATGGCCGAATCAGTTTCAATCTGAAGATTATAATTTAGAAGTCCATAACTTCTAAATAGCAATAAACCATCCTTGAGAGCATGCAACTCAGCTTCCGTGTTGGAACACACCTCGTAAAAAAAAGAAGCAGCCAGAACTATGTGCCCCAAGTCATTCCTTACCACAGCTCCGCCCCCAGCTCTTCCAGGATTTCTTTCGATGCCCCATCCACATTTAGCTTTAAAATGCCCGAAGGAGGAAGGGACCAGTTTATGCAAATAATTTTTTGTTTCAGCTCATGCCTCAGCTCTACCTTTAATGCCCTCAAGAATTCCATACCAATCATGCCTTCCTTATCTTTAGGTCTAACGCCATAAGCCTGAAGACGCAGAGTGGAGCAGATATCTAGAAACACAGCATAGGCCGAGAGTGAGCTATCTTCATAGACCCTTCTGCATCGCTCCCTCCATAATCTCCAAATTACCACCAGTGGAACACCTCTTAACAAGTTCTGACTTACAGAGTGTTTTTTAAAAATTTTGATCAGTCTCATCATACAAACCAAAGGATTCAGCGGAGAAAACCTGAAAACCACGAAATGCAGCCAGTTTCCCCCAAACCTCTTTATCAAAGTTGCATTGTATGAACAGGTGAGAAGTAGATTCCACAGCCTTGTAACGTAGAGAACATCTGCTGGCCAAATCAACACCGACCCGTTGGAAGTTTGAGTCCTCTACTACTGCTTTCTGATATATCTTCCAGCCCAGCAGTTTTGCACTTGGGAAAACCGATTGGTTCCAGATCACAGAGGTCACAGGCACAGGGACACTCGAAGCTCTCACTGCCTCCCAAGCAGACTTGACATTGGACTCTCCCGAATCAGTTAATTTCCATATCAGTCGATCTTCTTTTTCGCTTAAACAAATCATAGAATTCTGTACTTCATGCTTTAACTGTTCAGATACCTGCACCCCCAAACTTTGCCACTGCCAGCACCCATCAGCCCATAACTCATCCAGGCATGGAAACACGAGGGAGAAACGGCATACCTGAGCAGAAGAGGGCCAGATCCAGTCCAGTTCGAACACCAAAAGTCAACATTCTTCCCATTCCCCACCATGACCTGTGAGTTGGTCATAATCAAGCTAAAGAAAGGTTGCAGCATTCAAAATATACGCATTTTTCCAGTACCCGTGCATCGCATCAAGTGATTGCCTCTTAAGAATTTTTCTCTAAACATGTTTGCCCACAGAGAGTCGCCCTTAAGAATACCCCATGCCTGCTTCCAACGGTATGCCGTTTGGATATCTTCAAATTTACGAATCCCTAGGCCCCCCCTCTTGCTTGGGTCTTGTAATTACAGACCATGAAACCCAATGCCTTTTCCTCTCCCCCATCCTGCCTAGCCACATAAAGGAGGCCATGAGAGAATTCAACTTTGCCAGGATGCCTTTGGGCACGCTTAGACAAGCGAGCAAATGAATAGGAACAGAATTAAGGACTGATTTAATCAACACAATTCTGCCCATGTTTGAAAGTAAGCGTGCGTACCACCCTTCCATTTTGGCTTTGAATTTTAGGACCACATCCTCAAAATCCCGCAGTTTATATCTTCCTCTTATCATGGGGCATCCCAGGTAGACGAAGGGACATTGTTTTATTGGAATTTGAGCAATTCTGGATAGAGTCATTGTCCTGCCCCGAGGAATATTGGAGGAACATATGAAAGAGCTTTTATGTTTACTTATCCTCTGTCCAGAGCTATCCTTGTATCTTGCCAAAAACCTCATCAATCGTTCCATGGAAAGTTTATTACCCCTAAGAAACAGTAGAGTATCATCTGCAAAAAGCAGATGAGAGACAAGAAGTGCATTCCTCCCTGCATGAAAAGCCTTGATTCTGCCTTCACCATACAGCTTCAACAGTCCTCTACTTAAAACCTCCTCTGCCAGAATAAAGAGAGCCGGAGAAATTGGGTCACCTTGTCTCAGTCCTCTAGACGAAGGAAAGAAACCGAATCTTTTCCCATTCAAGCAGACCGAGAAAAATTGATTCTTTAAGCAGTTGCCAATGATAGAAATGAACAAGCTTGAAAAGCCAAAACAAGTCAAGGTTCTTTTCAAAAAATCCCACTCTATGCGATCGTACGCCTTTATCATATCCAGTTTAAGAATCACGTTGCCAGCCTCAACTTTCCTATCAAGCTCTACCACCATTAACTGAGCTAAAGAAATACAGTCCCCAATCCCTCTCCCTTTGACAAAACCATGCTATGCATTTGAAATCAGAGATGGAAGAAGGGAAGCAAGTCTATTGGATAGGATCTTAGTGAAGACTTTGTATAAAAAATTGCATAGACTTATGGGCCTGAACTCTGAGAAAGAACAGGGCTTCAACACTTTTGGAATCAAAACGAGGAGTGTGGGGTTGACCGATCTTGGGACCACTCCCCCACTTAAGAAAAAGTTAACCGTTTCTAACATGTCATGTTTAATAATATCCCATGCAACTTGAAAGAATCTACCAGAGAAACCATCAGTTCCAAGGGCGCTTTCCACAGATATAGAAAGCACAACCTATTTAACTTCAATTAAGGTGGCAGCCATAGTCAAATTCTCGTTGTCAGTTGGTCCAACAAGCTCAGGAATGACCCCAAATAACTCTTCATCAAGGGTATGGTTTTTAGACTTGTACAATTTAGTAAAGAAAGTGACAGCCTGATGAGAAATCTCCTCCTCAGAGCTACAAGAAAGTCACATACAAGAAAGTCATTTATTTGTTATGGGTAGAAGCGAACAATTGGTATGTGAAGGATGGAAGTAAATATAGAGATGTGGTTGAGAGAAAAGGAGGTTAGGAAACCAAAAGTTTAAAAATGGAGATGTGTATGATTAATGTCACAAATGTTTGGTATTTAAATTCAATGGTGATCTTGGCATTTTCAAAATTTTGGAGGACAAAAGTGTCTAAAAAATGTTTTTCATATATGTTGATATTTTATAGTAGTATAGATATAGATATTTTCTTAATAAAATCCGGAGTAACCTAAGTATAATTATTATGGTTTTAAACTCATGTTTCTCATTTTATGGGAATCAGGGTGTGACACACACTAGATATTGATATATGCTTAAATATTGCTTTAAATCTCGATCATTGAATATTATGATTATGTTCAAACCTTTGTTCTAGTCAAAATGAAGTCCTTGTTCAAAGTGTAAATAAAACATATATTTGTACTAGCAATGCGCCACGTGCGTTGCACGTGACTAATTTTTTTAAAAAAAATTTAATAAATAATTATTTGGTATATATGTTTGAATTAAATATCATCTCAATTTTACCAAATTTATTTTTTCATTGCTCATGCTCCATTATAGAATTTTTGAAAATTTTGTATATTTTCAAGATTGGTTATTCTAACTTTAAGAAAAATGATCGGTTATTATTTGATATAACATAGTTTAAAAAGTTTACTATAACTAAAAAATTATATAAAACTATATATACATTATTTTTTTCTTAAAAATAAAATGTTTTTGATGAAAAATAAAATATACATACTTAGTCATAATATTATCTTTATAAATGAGATGAGTAATATTATATTAATGGAGTTTTTGAAGGTTTTTTTTTAATATTTTGTTAAAAGTTATAATAATGCATATATTTTTGAAGAGTAATATAATAAGTCAAAAAGTTTCATAAAAATTGACATTTATAAATAAAGAATAAATAATTAAAAAATTAATTTGATTAAGATTTTACTTATAAATCATTTAATAAAATAAAAATAATTATCAATAAATTAATCATATTGGAACCTTAAGATTATCTAGGTCAATTGTGATAAAATTTAATATACAATGCTATAATCTATATAATAAAGTAGAGTTGAGTTTGAATCCAAGAGACAGAGTGGTTCAGATCGTTTTGAGACAAAACATAAGCACATCCGACGGACAATGTAATCTCAACATAAAAGACGGTTCAGATCATTTCAAAAATTTTGATCTAACGGTATATTGTGATTACCGAAATTAGTTTCCCCGCCCAACAAAATTCCTGTTTTAATTATAAGGGCTTTTTGCTTGACTGACGCCCCAGTCTCCTCTGATTCCCCCATATCTTCCCCTAAAATCTCTCTCAGAATCCTTCTCAATCTCATCCTCTGCCTTCCAAACTCATCCCCCAAAATCTTCCCCTACTCATCCCCAAAATCTCCAAAATCTCTCATGCCCAGCTCATCCCCAAAATCTCTTACGCCGAGGTATCTCAGTAATTGCTCTAACAATTTGTCTCCTCCCTTTCTCTCTGGAGTCCAACTCCGGCGACCCAAATATTCCAACATTCACCACAACTCTCACCATGCTTTTCCTAAACCCTATTTTTTTTTTTTTGAAAAAAAGGAGGATATATTGAAATGAGCAGAAATTACAAGAAGCAAGGAAGCCGGGCTTTAACAAAAACAAGGAAGCCAATGTGGCATAAACCATCAAAAAAGAAAAGGACATAAAATGGGACATGAAGGCCAGCAAAAGCCAGCTGAGAGTCCAGCTGAAGATCCAGAAAATTCAGCTGGAGGAAAGCTGGAAACCCAAGAGACAGCAACTGCGAGATGATGAAAACCATGAGGAATGAACATAAGCCCAGAACCAACACAGCAACTGAGAGCCCGCTGAGAACAAATCCCCAGCTGACTGCCGAAGGAAGCAGCAACAGAGAAACCCACAGCAGCAGACCAATAGCCAGCGTCAAGCAGATGAAAGAACCGCTGAGAGACCATGAGAAAATCAGCAAAACCAGCTGAAGAAAAAGAGACCAGAGGTGGCCAGCAGCAGCGACAAGAAAGCTGTGCACATGAACCATTGACACCATCAAAACAGCACAGCAATCACAGCAGCAAGTGGAGCCCATAAGAACCAGCAGAGAACCACAAAGAAATCATGGAAAACCAGCTGGAAACCCGTTGAGACCAGCTGGAAATCCAGCTGAAAACCCTCTGAGCAGAACCGTGGAAAGCCTTCAATGTTTACCAAAGATAAAGTCTGATAAAACCAGCTGTAGCAACAAAATGAGCCACGATCCCCAGCTGAAATCAGCACAAAATCCAGCTGAGATCCAGAAAAAACCAGCTGAAAGAGCCCATCAGTAGCCGCAAACAGGCTGTCCATGTGAACAGTAGCGTGAACAGTGTGTCATGACCAAAACCAGTTGAAAACCATCTGAAAATCACCCACAGCAGCTGCAATATCAGTAGAGGTCAGCTGAGAAAAACCGCCAGCAGCAGGAAGCAGACTGTTCACGTGAACAGTCGCGTGAATAGTACTCCCTGACCAAAAACAGCAAAAAAGCCACCGGAATGTCCCCCCAGCTGCATTTAATGTACAAATGTTGCCAAAGCTTCCCAGCAGGGTAAAGGAAGCAAACACACCAGCTGCGAGAAGCCAAGCAATGAGAAACAAAAGCCCCAGCCCGATTGGATGATTCATAAGTAAAAACCAAAGAATCAAAAATTAGTAAACTTTTTCCTTGACGTTTTAACACCTTGTTGATCCTGGATCTGAATTAATTTTGCCCGGAAAGGAATCTTCAAATCACGTGTGAAATCCGAAGAGGCACCCTCCAAAACAGCAAGGTTTGCAAGACAGTCAGCTAAGCAATTTGCTTCCCTGTATACATGAGCCAAACTAAAATTCATGCCCTTCAATAACTCCATGATCTCATCACAAATCTTCCAAAACTTCCGGGCCCTCATGTGCCCTTTCATCACCATTTGGACCATCACCGCTGAATTAGTTTCAATCAGAAGGCCACAGTCTAACAGCCCATAACTTCTAAACAACAATAAACCATCCTTGAGTGCATAAAGCTCAACCTCCATGTTTGAACAAACCTCATAGCAGCCAAGACAATGTGCCCCCATTCATTCCTTACCACAGCTCCAGCCCCAGCTCTTCCAGGATTTCCTTTCGATGCCCCATCCACATTTAGCTTTAAAAAACCGGAGGGAGGAGGGGACCAGTTAATCCAAATAATTTTTGGTTCCAGTTCCTGCCTCATCTCCACCTTTAAGGCCCTCAAAAGATCCATCCCCATCATGCCTTCCTTTGCCTCGGGACGAGTACCATAAGCCCGAAGACGCAAAGAGGAGCAAATATCAAGAAAAACAGCATGGGCCGAAAGTGAGATATCTTCATAGACTTTTCTGCATCGCTCCCTCCATAGTCTCTAAAAGACCACCAGTGAAGTACCTCTTAATAGGTTATTGCTAACAGAGTTTTTTTTTTAAATTCTAATCAACCTCATCATACGAACCATGGGAGATTCAGCCGAGAAAATCTGAAATCCACAAAAGGCAGCAAGCTTCCCCCAAACCTCTTTAGTAAAGTTGCATTGTGTGAATAGGTGAGTCGTAGTTTCCACTTCCTGATGGCATAGAGGGCATCTACTGGCCAATTCAACGCCAATACGTTGGAAATTTGAGTCCACCACCACAGCTTTCATATGTATCTTCCATCCCAGCAGTTTTGCACTTGGAAAGACAGATTGGTTCTAGATCGCAGAGGTTATAGGCACAGGGTTATTTGAAGTTCTCACCGCCTGCCAAGCTGATTTGACATTGAACTCTCCCGACTCGGTTAATTTCCATATCAATCGATCTTCTTTGCCACATAAACGAATCCCAGAGTTATGGATTTCGTGCTTTAATTGCTCAGAAATCTGGACTCCCAATAACTGCCACTACCAGTCCCCTCTTGCCCATATCGCATCTAGACTTAGAAAGCTCGAGGGGGAGACATCGTGCCTGAGCAATAAAGGGCCAGATCCTGCCCAGTTCGTGCACCAAAAATCCACAGACTTCCCGTTTCCCACCAAAACCTAGGAGTTCTCCATAACCAAGCAAAAGAAAGGTTGCAGCATTCGAAATGTACGAGCTTTTGCAGTGCCCAGACATCATAACATGTGTTTGCCTTTTAAGAATTTTGCTCTAAACATGTTCGCCCAAAGAGAGTCACCCTTTAGAATTCCCCATACCTGCTTCCATCGAAAAGCAGTTTGGATGTCCTCAAATTTACGAATTCCAAGCCCCCCTCTTGCTTGGGTCTTAAAATATCTTGAAACTCAATGCCTTTTCCTCTCCCCCATCCTGCCTGACCAAATAAAGGAGGCCATCAAAGACTTCAACTTGACCAGGATGCCTTTGGGCACCCTAAGACAAGAGAGCAAGTGAATAGGGACTGCACTGAGGACCAATTGAACCAATACAATTCTGCCCATGTTTGATAGCAAGCATGCATACCACCCTTCCAATTTAGCCTTGAATTTTAGAACCACTTCCTCAAAATCCCGGAGTTTATATCTTCCTCTAATTATGGGGCAGCCTAGGTAGGTGAAGGGGCATTGTTTAATTGGAATTTGTGCAATTTTGGAAAGTGTCATTCTCCTGACCAGGGGAATTTTGGAGGAGCAGATTAAGGAACTTTTCTGCTTGCTTATTCTCTGACCAGAGCACTCCTCGTATCTTGCCAAAAATCTCACCATTTGTTCCATGGATAGTTTATTCCCCCTAAGAAACAACAGAGTGTCATCTGCAAAAAGAGGATGAGAAATAAGAAGAGCACCCCTCCCTGCATGAAAAGCCTTGATTCTGCCTTCACCATACAGCTTCATCAAGCCCCTGCTTAACACTTCCTTGGCCAAAATAAAGAGAGCAGGTGAGATTGGGCCACCTTGTCTCAACCCTCTAGACGAAGGAAAATTGCCAAATCTTTTCCCATTCAAGCAGACCGAGAAGAATTGGTTCTTTAGGAAGTTACCAATGATGGAAACAAATAAGTTTGAAAAACCAAAACAGCCCAAACTTCTTTCCAAAAAGTCCCACACCAATGCGGTCATATGCCTTCATCATATCCAATTTAAGAATCACGTTGCCTGCTTCGACTTTTCTATCAAGCTCGCCCACCATTAACTGTGCTAAAGAAATACAATCCCCAATCCCTCTCCCTTTGACAAAACCGTGTTTTGCATTTGAGATCAGAGACGGAATGAGAGCCACAAGTCTATTGGATAGGACCTTCGTGAAGACTTTGTACAAAAAATTGCATAGGCTTATGGGCCTAAAGTCTGTGAAAGAGCAAGGCTTCATCACTTTTGGAATCAAACACAAGGAGTGTGGAGTTAACAGATCTTGGAATCACTCCCCCACTCAAGAAAAAATTAACCGCCTCCAAAAGGTCGCTTTTAACAATATCCCATGCTACTTGAAAGAATCTACCAGAAAAACCGTCAGCGCCAGGGATGCTTTCCACAGACATAGAAAAGACAACCTGTTTCACTTCGGTTAAGGTAGCAGTCATAGTCAAGATCTCGTTAGCCGCTGGTCCAACAAGTTTAGGAATAACCCCAAATAGCTCTTCATCAAGCCCATGGTCCTCTGACATGTACAGTTTAGCAAAAAAGGTTGTGGCCTGTTGAGAGATCTCCTCCTCAGAGTCACACCATTCACCATCTTCACCTTTAATCCTCATCAGTCTGTTCCTCACAGCCTTCCCTTTGGCCAAAGCATGAAAGAACTTGGTATTCCTCTCCCTGTGTAGTGCCCATTTTATGTTAGCTTTTTGTCTCCAGTACAATTCTTCCAACCTAAGTGTTTCCTCTAGATTCTTTCTTGCAGAGTAGTTATCATCCACAGAACGTTCTGCCTCTCGCAAAGCCAATTCCTGCATACTAATCTTTTCAAAAATGTCCCAAACACCTCCTTGTTCCATTTTTTGATATTAAACTTTAGCATTTTTAGTTTGAGGAAGAAGTTCTCAGCGTTAGCAAACATTCTGTCCAGCCGTTGCCACATTCTCGAATTAGCCCCTCCGATTGAATACAGTCCCCAAATTCATCCATTGCCAACACAGATGGAGAGGCACCCCCCCATTCTTTCATTTGACCTCATCACAATGTTAAAATCCCCCATCACCAACCAGGGCATAGCAAAGGATGTAGAAATAACCTGTAAGTGTCCCCACATAGGGCCTCCTTAACAAGTAAGTCACAACAACCATACACCACCGTAACTAACACTGGATCAGCTCCCTGGTAGGAGACTGACACGGTCATAGCTTGTTCAAAGTGCAGCATGCTCTTAACTTCCAAGTTATCATTCCATAAAAGCCACATATTTTTCTCTGCCTTTGTGTTTGCCATAAAAGAATTTAACCCAACAGCAAGACCAAAATTCCTTAGTTTGGTATGGGACATTTTTGGTTCAATAACAGCGAGAAGACTCACCTTATTCATTACAATTAATTTCTTTAATTTGCTTCTTAGGCTCTCTTTTCCAGCACCCCTTACATCACCTTATTCATTACAATTAATTTCTTTAATTTGCTTCTTAGGCTCTCTTTTCCAGCACCCCTTACATTCCACATTAGGAAATTCATCATAAAGAATTTGTTTCATCATTACCTCTGGGACTATGCCCAGTACTGCAGTCGGAGTAGTTCACTGTTGTTTGGTTTAGCAAGATAATTCCTTGATCTTCATTTACAGTGGCATCTTCACTTGAATCAGCCCAATTTTTTGAGCTTTCTTGATCAGAGTAAAAGCCCCTGTCTGGTGGTTCTTTATCCCTCCTGAGTCCACTTTCGTCATCCACGGTGTAATTTTGTCTGACTCTTAGCTCATACAGATGATCCACAAAGAAAGAAGATGAGGTAGGTGAATGAGATTGTTTATTTAACGAGCACATTACTGTACCTGCCATCTGTTGCACCTCTTTAGACCCTTCCGCCTGAGGTTGAGAAAATAGAGCATTATCCATACCGTTCTGTATACCCTTTTCACCTCTTTCGGGAGATACCTCCATTAATGACATTTCTTTCTCCTTTTCTGCGCCCTGTAACCTCTCCTCATCCGGTGTTACAGTAACCAAATCCTCCTTGTTTTTTGCCTCAGAACTTACAACAGTGCTTTTTTAAGTAATTGAATCCCCGTTATGATTTTGCGTTTCATCCTTTCCCTCCTCTGCGACATCCTTGCCCGAATGCTCTCCTCTTAACACATTAAATTTATTGGCATCCTCCTCTCCTCCTACATCTAAATTTATGGGATTCGAGAACTGTGGTGCTTGGTGACCCTCTTTCACGGTTACTTTGGAATTCGCTTTTTTTGTGACTTTCTGCCATGCCTTATCTTTCCCCTTAAGGTCCTCGTCTTTTTTCGAGATGCCAACTTTCTGCTTTCTTTCCTCCTTAGGGTTGTATGCCTGTTTGTACACTTTGTTTTCCTCTTCCCTTTTGCCTTTACGACACTCGAGCATCCCATGGTCTTCTTTCAAACACCCAGCACAATACTTCACCAATTTTTCATAATTAATCTTTTGCCAACGCCCACTTGTTCCGCCAAAATCCAGCCAAAGACGAGATGGGTTATCAGCTAATAAATTAACTTCGACACATACGCTAGCCACACCTGGCCTAGATAATAGGAGGGTGGGTGAGTCAATTACAAGGATTCTCCCGATGGGACTCAAAATGTCCCGAAGGCTCTCCTTATCAAAGAGGTGAATTGGCAAACCTGGGAGAGAAATCCAAATAGGAACCACTGGTGGTTCAATCCCAGGCAGGAACTCCGAAAACCACTTGAAGAACCTGAACAAGAAGCCCTCGATGTGTGTTGCATCTGTGAAACTCGGGAAAATTTGAACTTTTTCTTAGAAAGGGTAAAATGGTAATTTGTCATCCTAATGCGTATTTAAAATACTCATGTTCTAGACCTCGGTTGAGGAAACGAAGTTCGCCGTTGGATTCGTATCGCAAAATCTAATCACCCTGTCAAATTTCGTCGAATTTCGAGATAGACGAATTTTTGCACGTTGTTTAAGGCAACTACGTGGCGAATGACATTTTAAAGGTCCCCAAAAATAAATTTTTTAATTTTTTTCTTAAAATCAAGTTAAAGTTCCAATACAATTAATTTTAACTAAATCTGAGGTATAACAAATCGTTTCGGAATGAAAAACGAACCCGGAAGTCTGAAATATGCGGTGCGATGTGGACCACACATTCAGGACTATAAATACCTACTTGACTTAAATATTTTGGAAAAAATATCTCATGTTCTTGACCCTTGGCCGGCCATAGAGAGAAGAGAATGAAAAGAGAGAAAAACAAGTAAGTTCTTCAAGCTTCAATCCAAGATTCTCGGAGTTTCGTCGGTCGGAATTCGTCGAGTCAAGAATCAAAGTTCATCTCCTCGACGAGGGTTACGTGTACGTACCAAGAAAAGTGGATTTCACCGAAGGTGCAAAGAAAAGACTTTGGAGGAATCAAAGGTTCTTGGGCTTGTTTTGGTGTTTTTTAGAAGTTCTACCACTTCTTACACGCTACAAGAGGTAGGGTTCGCTCCTACCTTGGTTTTATTCTTACCTTAAGTGGGCTTTTAGTGGCTGAAAATGATTTATATGTGGGCTGTCCAAATAGACTGTTAAGGGGCTGAATTTTGGACTGTTAAGGGGCTGAATTACGGACTGTTTTGGTGCTGAAATTGGGGTTGTTTTGTGCACTAATTAGGGGCTGTATACAGACTGTTTTTGGGGCTGTTTTAAGGCCTATTTTGGGGCCTATTTTGGGGCGGTTTAGTGGCTAAATTTTGGGCCACTATGGGCTGATTTTCTTGTGGGCTGAAATATGTGCTATATTTTGTCTTTTAAATTAAGTGTGTTTTTGACATAGATTATGTGATAACATGCTTGTCAATTGTGTTGAATATAAATGTTGACACATGCTAGTTGATGTTTTGACATTGTGATGAAATTATGGGGATTATTAGCATATGATATAAATCGCCATGGTAGACATTGATGTGTAAAAATTGTTCCTTTGGCATGCATTGCAATATGAACAAGGAATTGACATCACATTCATGGGCATGAGTCATGAGTGTGGATGTGTGTATGCATGGTTAATTAAACACCATTCTTGGTGATTAATGGGTAGACTCGAAAAAGTTAGGTTGAAAATCTGAATGAGTCACATGGTTGCATGAAAGAAAAACTTGTGTCAGGTATAGCAAGAAGGGGTAGATTCCCCCCTCGGGTGCAAGACTCGGCGACTTAGTTATACATTCCCCCGTAGTGAAATTCCAAAAAAGTGTAGTATGGTGTACGGAACCGGCGGTATAAAATCCAAAATCCGTTGCCCAACAAGACACAAGATTTTGATTTATAAAGTACTCATATAATGAGTAACACCCATTAATGATTTGGTTTTATAATAAAACAACTTTTATTTCAAACGATCATTTGGTGAATTTTTTCGTCAATTGACGGATTCAGTATACCTTGGTATTGCATTGTGTCGTGGGAGTCGATGATGACTTGGGTTTAAGTGTATGAGTGAGTATCATCTCATTTCATGGCATGACATGATTACATTCCACATTTAATGCATATTCTTGTATGGAATGATTGTTAAATGTTGTTTGTTGCTTATATACACCACATATGCATCTAAGGTGGAGAGTAGCCTCTAGAGGGATTATTCTACTGGGCGTTAGCTCACCTTATACTGCAAAACATTTCAGGTGGGTGAGATACATCGGTAGATGGCTCCAATTTGGACCCTCATGTTTGAAGAAAGCCGAATGTGGCTTTATTTTGTGATAATGTAAAACATTTGTGGAAATAATGTTTTGGACATGTAATATTTTGCAAATAATTGTAATAGAACTTATATAGACTATTGTTAAACTAACTTTGCATGTGTTGATATAAATATGGATAATTGGACCCGGTGTGGTCATTGTTGAATATTGGACCCGGTGTGGTCATTGTTGAATATTGGACCTCGGATCTTGTTATTATATGATTGTACAGGTTGAGTTTTTGGTAGAGCTTCCCGTACAAAGGAGACTCTGCCCGAATTTCATAAAAAATTATGGTTTCCAGTAAATGGCGCATAATGGCGTGATATCAAATTACTCGGTATCCACGGGTTGATGGGGAATCAACGGACCCCCAGATTTTGGGGTGTCACAGCATCCTTTAACCATGTCTTGACGTAATCCTCATTGTAATCAATGCGTGTCTTGGATCCAAGACCCCGACAGTGAAGTTGCCTTTCAGGAGCCATCTGGTAGTGATGAATTCCCTGATAACACCAACTGATGGTTAACCATATGCGCATTTTCCTATTAAGGTCTGGTGGAACTTCTTTGAGAGAGTTTGAGTTTCCTCAGAAGACCAATACATCCCAGTTCCCCGTTATTGAAAACCACCCGTTTGGCTGGCCTAAAATAGGATGCTGAAGGCATTGGAGAGGAGACCCCTTCAATCGGCTGTGGAGACTGTGTATCCGAAGAGCTCGAAGGAGCCGAAGGAAAAATGAACACCAAAGGAGGCGAAGTTGATGGGGTTTTTTTTGAAAAGGGGAGCAAAATTTTTTGTAATATCAGATCCGGGTTGGAGATTGGGATTTTTGGGGAGGATACCACAGGAGTTTGCGATTACCTGTTGCGATCCTGAAGCATTTGCACCATCTGCCTAACTCGGACAATTGCACCGATTGTGGAAGGATTTTTGCAATATCTGTTGTAGATTGTAGATTCGGGTTTGTAGGAGGCATACAAGAGTTCTTTGTGACATCTTGCAACGTTGTTGAAGCTTTTGCCCCATTCTGAACAATATCGGTAAAGTGTGCCGATGTTGACTGGGTTAAAGGATTTAAAGAAATCTTGGGGGTTGTGATGGAAATAAGGGAAACATCCGGTGGCTTAGGAGGGATTTGACCCTGATTTTGATCAGCAGTCATAATAAATGCGCAGAACAAAGCATAAAGATCAAGAATGCAAGAAAAAGCAAAGAAAACCTAGAGAGTGGTGAGAGCTTCTCTCACTAGAAAAACAATAACTGCCCTTGACTAAACCTAAACCCTAAAACCCTAAACTCTAAACACTAAACCCAAAATGACACAACCTAATGCAATACTAACAATGTCCAAACTATAGACAACCGGTGCCTGAAGATACCATCTAACATAAAAAAAAGTAGTTGATTTGGAACATTTCTCCTTCCATTGCTTGAATAAGAGAAATTGAATTCAATATGGGTTTTGCTAATTTTATAAAAAATTCTAACGGAATTTCCTCTAAAAATAGGAGTCCAGTCGTAGCACCTGAGGATTGAACGACATTCTGTAGCAAACCAAGGGTTTTTGCCCCTTTTTGATTTTGTTCGGTGTATTGCACCGTGTCGGCAGGGTTTGGTGAAATTAGCAAATTATTTGTAGTTTCTGATCTATGATGAACCGAAGGAGGCACAGAAGGCATACCAGGAGCTTTCACGATGACATGTACCGAACCAAAGGCATTTGCCCCATCTTGAACTAAATCGGTAAACTGTACCGATTTTAAATGGTCTAACGAAAATGATGAAATCTTTGGAGCTGAAGTGGGATTCTTTGTAATATCGGGAGGTTTAGGTGGAATTTGGCTTTGATTCTAGGTAGAAGACATAATAAATGGACAGATCAGTAAGAAAAGCATGAAAAAAACACAAAATCGATGGAAAAAGCTAGAGACAAGTGGGAGATTCTCTCTCTAGACAAAAAACTTAAACCCAAAAACGAAAACCCTCAACCCTCAACCCTAAACCCTAAACCCTAAATCCTAAAAACCCTAAACCCTTTTTTTTTTTTTTTTCAGCTGAAATGAATAAGAAACCCAACTCCCTTGGCAAGAAAAATCCAGCTGCACAGTCCAGCAAACAAGCTGAAAGTGTAGCTGAAGTAGAAGAGGCATGCAACTAAAGAAGCCCAAACAAAGAAGATATCCAGCTGCTCACAAGTGAACTGCTGTGAAATTCCAGCACAGTCACGTGAACTGTCACATGAACAGTGCACTTCAGGCACAGTTTGAACTCCTCCACAGCTGAATTGGGCTGTTAATTGTACTACTGCAGTGTGTTTGTGGGAACTCCAGCTGAGAAGGAGCAGCTGCAATTCCAAAACATCATGCAAGCAGCTGGAACTCCTCCACAGCTGAGCTGGACTGTTAATGCTACCACTGCAATATCCTTGAGGGCCTGAACCCAGCTAGTAAATGCTTCCTGACAGTCCAGCTGGAGGAATAAACTCATTATAAAAACCAACTGCTGCAACAAAAACCAGCTGCGCAAAAAACCAGCAAAACAGTGACGTGAACAGTATGTGCTCACTGGAAACTGCTGTTATTCTCTGAGCCTATGTGTTCTTGCAAAGTTAACTTGAATAATTCAACTGCCAAAATCCAGCTGTAAAAGAAAGGTTGAAATCCCAAACATGAGCTAAAAGAATCAATCTGAATAGTTTCATGAACAGTAACGTGAACAGTCCATCTTAAGAATTCCTCGCAAAATGGACAAAACTTAGCTGAATTATCGAGCAACATTCCTCACTCTTCAAAAACGCATCTGCCTTTGATCTTGCTGCAGCAGATTGCGCGCTTCAGATGGAAGAGAATCAGCCGAAATGATTTCCTTATAAGCACATTCCTTTACTCCTTGGTTAGCTAGATAATCAGCCACTGAATTCGCCTCACGATAAATATGATGAATCTCAAATTTCAACCCTTCAAGAAGATTCTGCAATTGATAAAACAAAGCTCTATATTTCCAATTGGACTCACAAGCGCCCTTGACCATATCAACAAGATTTTGGAGTCTGTCTCAATAATCAACTCGTAATCAGACAATCCAAAGCTATAGTAAAGCTTTAAACCATCCATTAATGCCTTCATCTCAGCTTCCATATTAGTACATACTTCATAAAAATTTGAGGCTGCCATAACAAGCTGCCCCCTCTGATTTCGCACCACTGCACCTCCACCTGACCATCCTGGATTCCCTTTCGCTGAGCCATCAACATTCAACTTCAAAAAACCAGCTGCTGGACATGTCCAAGATACCCATATAGCTCTTTTCCAAATCACAGAAGGAGTGATTTGAAGAGTAGCCAAGAGCTCTTGTCCTTTCATAGATTCAGCAACTTTAGGCTTTATAACATATCTTTGATAAACAATAAGATTTTTAATTCTAATGAGCAAAGCAGAAGAATGCAACTTACTGCCTTCAAACAAACGACGACACCTCTCATTCCATAACTGCCAGAAAACAATCAATGAAACACCCCTAAGAAGACCATGAGCAATGGACCTTTTATTATAAATCCTTACCAATCTTCTAAATCTTGTTAAAGCTCCTTCACCCGCAATCAAGCTGAAATTCATAGCAGACGATATTCCATTCCATACTGCCTCAGCATACTTACATTGTATAAAGAGATGTTCCACAGTTTCAATACCTTGCATACATAACGCACATTTACTTACAACCGTAACTCCAATGGACATAAAAGTGGAATCCACTGGAAGAGCATTCTTCAAAATTTTCCAGCCTATAAGTTGTGCTGCGGTGAAATTTGCTGTCCCCAGATTAAAGTAGCAGTTAGATTCTGTTGCTCACTGTGCGTAACAGTGGACCATGCTGATTTGACTGTGAATTTTCCCGATGACGAAGGCGTCCACACCAGTAAATCTTGCTTATCGCAAAATGAAATTTGCAAAGAAGACAGCTCAATGCTTAACTGCTCACTCAACTCTGGACATAATGAAAAATCCCATCGACCATTAGAATACACATCTCTTAACTTTGGAAAATTCTGTGGCTGCTCTTGTATTCTCAAAATCAACGGGCCTAGAGAAGACCAATTGTCACACCAAAAATCAGTTCCTATTCCATTTCCAATAATCATCTTGGAGTGCTCAACCATTTGATGAAACGAAGGAGATAAATTTCTGTAACTCTTGGAATAAGATCGTCTTAAATTACTCAAAACATGCCGATGACCAAGACACTTAGCAGAAAAAATCCGAGACCATAAAGTAGAGCAATGCATCAAGTTCCAAACTTGCTTCTTTTTAAAAGCTTTGGAAACATCATCAAACTTCCTCAATCCAAGGCCACCTTCCTCCTTAGGCAATGTAACATCAGCCCATGAACACCAATGCCTTTTCCTAACTCCATCCATACCTGACCAAATAAAGGATGCCATTATAGAGTTCATTCGAGCAATAATACCTTTAGGAATATTCACACACGCCAATAGATGAGTTGGGAGGGCACTAAGAATCGATTGTACCAATACAACCCTTCCCATATTGGACAACATCTTTGCATACCACCCCTCCAATCTTGATTGAAACTTCTGCAACAAGTCTTCAAAAAAAATCAACTTAGGTCTCCCCTTAATGATTGGACAGCCTAAGTATGTAAAAGGGCAGCTATGAATTGGTATTTGAGTTGCTCGATGCAAAACTCCCCTCCTTGCATGAGATATATGTGATGAACAAATCATAGAGCTTTTCAACAAATTCACTTTCTGCCCTGACGCTGCTTCATAATTTGAAATAAAAGAAAGCAGATTCACCATTGAATGCTTGTCACCTCTCAAGAACACTAAAGTGTCATCCGCAAACAATAAATGACTTAGCATTACAGCACCTCGCCCTGTGTGAAAATGCTTAACAAGACCCCTCTGATATATGTCCCGTAATCCCCTGCTCATAACTTCCTCTGCTAAGATAAACAAACTTGGTGATAGTGGATCCCCTTGCCTCACTCCCCTTGTTGTATTGAAAAAACCATGTCTTTGTCCATTCAAAACCTAAGTTACATGCTGATTTTGCAAACAATTGGAAATGGTTGAAACAAACAGCTCAGAAAAGCCAAAGGCAGATAGAGTTTTCTTTAAAAAATCCCATTCCAATCTGTCAAATACCTTCATCATATCAAGCTTTAAAATAACATTACCTCCATCCACTTTCCTATCTAACTCATCCACCATGAATTGAGCCATAGAAATACAATCACTTATATTCCTTCCTTTCACGAAGCCATGTTGTTCCTCCGAAATAATGAATGGCAAGACAACACTTAATCTTGCGGCCAAAATTTTTGTAAATATCTTATACAAAAAGTTACACAAGCTAATTGGCCTATATTCTGAAAAATACACTGGATTTTTTGTCTTAGGAATGAGAGACAATAAAGTGGTATTCACTGACCTGGGCACCACTCCCCCTTTCAAGAAAAAATTTACAGCAAGCAAAATATCTTCTTTAATGATTTCCCATGAAGCCTGGAAAAATTTTCCAGAGAAACCATCTGCCCCAGGCATACTCTCAACTGGCATTGCAAAGACAGCATCATGCACTTCCATCATTGTAGCCTGCGCAGTTAACATAGCATTCTGATCTTCTGACACTAGTGAAGGAATAACAGAAAACAGCCCCTCATCCAGAGTATGTGACTCTGATGTATAGAGCTTAGAGAAAAATTGCTCAGCACAAGCAGCCATCTGTAGTTCATCTTCTAACCAAACACCATCATCATTTTTGATCCTCTTCAGCTTATTTCGAACTGACTTTCCCTTAGCAACAGCATGATAGAATTTAGTGTTCCTCTCCCCCTCTAGCGCCCATCTCATATTCGCCTTTTGTTTCCAATACAATTCCTCCAATCTCAAAGTATCTTGCAGCTCATGTTGTGCTTGATCGAGAAGTGATTGATTACTTACTGAAGGAAAGAGATCCATTTCCTTCTCCGCCTCCATTAATCTCTCCTCCTGAATTTTAATTCTCTCAAAGATGTTTCCAAAGACATTCTTATTCCACCATCGCAAGTGCGCCTTCATATTCTTCAGCTTTATAAATACATTCTGTAACGGATTATCCGAAAAATCTCCCCACCATTTATGTTTAATTAATTGCAAAAAAGAAGGATGTTCAACCAACATATCCATAAACTTAAAGTAAGAAATCCTAGGCTGGACATTTCTCTCTGCAACCGTAATATGGAGAGGACAATGATCTGATTTACCTCTTGCAAGTTGATACACCTCCCTACTATCAAAAGCTAAGTTCCATTCTGAATTGATAAAAGCACGATCAAGCCGCTGCCACATTCTAGTCCAATCATGATGGTTATTACACCATGTGTAGCTAGAACCATTAAAACCACAATCCATCACCCCAGCTGAATGCACAAACACATTAAAATCATCCATCGATATAAAACTAGGGACAGCCCCTCCCATTCGTTCTTTCGAAGAAAGAATAGCATTGAAGTCCCCCATGAGCATCCAAGGCATAGACAAAAAATTCAAAGCTAAAAGATGATCCCAAAGTGGTCTTCTTAGCAGATGATCACAGCATGCATAAACTAAAGTCAAAATAAATGGAGCAGAACCCAACTAAGACACTTGAACAGTCAATGATTGAGCATAAACATCCAAACCTGGACATTTAACCTTTGATCCCAAAGCAACCACATATTCTTATCAGCAGATGGATTAGCGATGAAAGAATGCCTATTAAGAGTAGAAGATAAACCTGGCAACTTCAAAGGATTCTGCTTAGACTCCAAGATAGAAACTAAACAAACATCCTTCAATCTAATAAGCTTCTTGAGGCGCCTTCTCGTAACATCCTTTGCAGCACCTCTAATGTTCCAGGATAAGAAATAAATCATGTAAAGGGTGAGGAGAAGTAAAACCCCTAGATTTAGATCTAGTAATAACACCCGAAGGAATTAGCTCCTCTGGACGATTAACCACGGAGTGAACCTCAATATCAGAATTTGGCGAATAACCGCCCAAAGATCCTGAACTCTTTGTTAAATCATTCTCCGAATCATAACCCCTGCTCTGAGAATCTGAAAGTTTTAACAAACCTTGGTCATCATCCAATGATATACCAGCAGAGGGTTGTTTAACATAATTATGATCAGTCCAAAAAGTAGAGTCCAAAGAAGATGGTGATGACTGCCTATTCAATAGACACTTTAAAGGCGTATTAAACTGAACATTATCCTCCTGAACTGGCAGTGAAGGACAAACACTCACTGTGACAGAATTATCAACATTCAACATCTGCATTTCATACCCAGTCTGAGACAGCTCCTGCACCAAATTCTGCACTACATGATTTGCCGGAGAAGCTATAGCAGACCGCAAAGAAGGATTTAAACCATTCTTTCGCTGTAGTGCCTCCCTTTTCCGCTGTATATTTCGGTGCTGTGAACTTCTACCTTGCCGTAACGATGGAGTAACATTCAAATTCTCCACTGCATGATTTTTTGGAGAAGCAAATAACTGTCTGCGGATCATCTCTTTCCTGTGAAACAAGGCGCTGCTGCGAACTTTCTCCACGCTGTATCGATGAAACATCTTCAGAAACATGTACACCAGCAGTAGCTGGTAATTGCGATGGAACCTGTTCAGTAGAAGCCAGTAATTGTGACGTTTGTTTTTGATTCAAATCTACACTTCGCTGCTCCCTTAAATCATCCTCAGATATTCTCTCATGAGATCTCAAATCTTTCTCCTGATTAAAATTGTGCTGAATCACATTTTACATCTCGGCATGATTTTTAGGCACATTTGAATGCTCCAAAATTTTCCAAAATCCTTCGGAAGTAGAAGGTTTATTCTTTGACGGTCCTGCCTTATTTTTGGTGTGTAACTATTGCCTGGGCAGCTTCTCTACATCCTCCCCAATATTAGCCTTGCCTTTTCTCAATCTCTCTTCTTCCTGAACAGCTGGATCACGTTCTTGCTTCTCGGGCTTCTTCTTTCTGCATTCATAATCCATATGACCTTGCTTAAAACAATTCGAACAATACTTCACCTCCTTTTCATAAATGACTTTCTGCCATCTTCCCTTATAACCACCCATTTCCAGCCATATTCTTTGTGGATTATCCTCCATTACATCCATCTCCACACATGCTCTTGCAACTGCAGGTCTTGTAAGATTCATCGTAGGCCTATCAAAGGCCAATATTCTTCCCAGTGGGCTCAAAATTGCATCAATACAATCATTAGTAAATAAGCACATGGGCAATGAAGGCAAAGATACCCACATTGACACCACAGAAGGCTCAATACCAGGAACAAAATCAGGTACCCACTTAAAGAATCGAAACATATGGCCTTCAATGTACGTAACATCTTTGAGCCAAATCTTCACATAATCTTCAAAGAGTGAGAATCTCATGACTATATGCCTCGCATCCAGATGTCCAACAAAGAACTCCCCCTTTATACTCCACTTGGTGCTGATGAATTCTCTGATAACAGCAAGTGATGGTCTTCCATAGGTACATTTTGCAATCAAAGATTGCTGAAAAGGCTTCTCAAGATCAATCATCTCCTCCTTGGACCAGAAAACTATGTGTTGACCTTTATCAAAAACTGCTTTTTTTTGCTTTTTTGGCTTTTAATCATTTGTTTATTTGGGATTTTGATCTGCTATTGGCTTGAAAAAAGATGTAATATGTGGTTGTTGAACGATTGATGCATATGTTTTTGGTTTATTTTGTGGATCAGGTGGTTTTGGTTGCTCTAGATAAGGTTGGTTAATACTCATGACGAAGAAATTCTAGAGAGAAGTTAGGAAAAAAAAAATCCTAAACCCTAAACCCTAAACCCTTTTTTTTTTTTGGTGAACCTCAACGGTACGAGAGAGATTTATTGATTCAAAATAAAATTACACCTAGCTAGGGGGGGACGTATGTACCTTACCCCTCGATACATTCTAGTTACATGATGTAATAATAATAAAAAAGAAAGGAAAAATGCATGCTTAATACAATTAGTAATTAAATGAAATTATCCTTAGCTTGCTGCCTTTGAAATTAATAGTGTCCTGCTGATTTAGGTAACCAGCAACTTATAACTATCCAAGCAACTCAGCTGAATTGGAGTCTTTAGTCGTTGAAGCAAAGTCCAGGTAAAACAGCCCACTGATATAGTAATCCGTTTGCTAATTTAAAAGCCAGATAAGATAATGATAACCCCGTAAGTCCAGCAAAATTAAATAACATGCTGATAAAGCAAAAGAGACCATCTGAGTAAAGAGTCCAGCTGGGATAGAGTCCTTGTAAAACAAAATGCAGCTAAGAGCAATCCAGATGAACCGACTCCCTTAGCAAGAAAAAATCCAGCTTCTGACTTTGATGATAGAGTCCTAGCAAAAAGAAATGCAGCTGTGAAGAGTCCAGCTGAAATTAATCTCTGCCAAAAAATCCAGCTGAAAGTAGAACAAAAACCAGCATTAACCGTTCACGTGAACATTAAATGCTGCCCCAAACCAGCTGCAATAGAACATTCCAGTGACACTCCAGTCCAGCTGAAGGAGAAAGAGATCAGCTGAAAATGCACATGAACAGTCACGTGAATAGTGACGTGAACAGTGCATTTCAGACCACCCAAAGACAGCTGGAATTCCACAGCTGAATTGGCCTGTTTACTTAGCTGCTGCAGTGTATTTGTGGGCCAAAATGCTTCCTGACAGTCCAGCTGGAAGAGTCCAGCTGATGAAGACGCAAACCAGCTGGAAGAGTATACCTGCCGCAACATAAACATTCCAGTTGCCGCTTAAAATACAGAGTAGCCCACTCCAATCTAAAACTAAGAAATGGCAGTCGAAGCAGCCCACTCCAATCAAAGCAACATAATCCTGCTGAAGTAGTTTCATGAACAGTCAAACAAGCACTGTTGAGGAGGCATCTCATCTGATCTAACACTTAAAATTTTTCCTCCTTAAAAATCGATAATGCCTTTGATCTTGCTGAAGTATAAACCTTGCTTCAGATGGCAACGAATCTGCAGAAGTTATCTCCATGTCCAGACGATCTTGAACTCCTTTATTAGCTAGAAAATCAGTAACTGAATTTGCCTCCCAATAGACATGCTGAATTTCGAAATTCAAATTGCTAAGAAGCTGCTCCAATTGATAAAATAATGTCAAATACCTCCAATAACACTCACCGAGCCCCCTTACCATATCAACTACCATTTTAGAATCTGTCTCAATCAACACCTGATATTCCAACAACCCAAACTGATGAAAAAGTTTTAATCCATCTAATAATGCTCTAATTTCAGCTTCCATATTAGTTCCCATTCCATAAAATTTGGATGTTGCAATAATCAATTGGCCCCATTGATTCCTTAATACAGCTCCACCACCAGACCAACCTGGGCTCCCTTGGCTGATCCATCGACATTAAGCTTCAAAGTACCATCTTTCGGAGAAGACCAAGACACCCATTCAGCTCTTGCCTTAATCGGAGAAAGATTAACATTAATAGAGGACAACAGAATTTGTCCTTGCATTGAATCTGCAACTTTAGGTCTTATGGCATAGACTTGGTAGGATACAATCCACATAATTTTAAATACCAAAGCAGCAGAATGAATATTAACCCCTTCAAAATTTCGCCTGCACCTTTCAGCCCAGAGTTGCCAATAAATAATTAAAGGAACCCCTCTAATTAATCCATGACACAGTGACTGCTTTTTATAAATTCTTGCTAATCTTCTAAACCTCATTAATGGACCTTCACCAGCTACCAATGTGAAACCCATAGCAGAAGAAATAGCTGCCCACACAGCCTGGGCATATTGACAGTGAATAAAAAGATGTTCCTCAGACTCCAACTGCATCATACATAGCGAACACCTACTTGCCATCGCAATACCAACGGACACAAAATTGGAATCCATAGGGAGAGCATGTTTGAAGATTTTCCAAGTAATGAGTTGAGCTGAAGGAACAGTACGTTGCTTCCATATGAGTGCAGCCATATCATTTTTTTGCTCTCGATGTCTAATAATCGACCAAGCAGACTGAACTGTGAATTAGCCCGTTGAAGACGGAGCCCATATCAATCGATCCTGCCTATCATAATATGTGATTTGCAATGAGGAAATTTCAGAAATTAACTCCTCATTGGCTATATATACGGGACTCTACACTTAGTTTGTATTCCTTTTTCACTCACATATATCTCTTGTTGGTATCAGAGCCACTAACCCTAACCCTAACCTCCGCCAATCATCATAACCAAACAGACCCAGCCGCTGCTCCTCCTTCACATTGCAACAGTAACCAGCCATCAATCACCACACTGTCCAGTAGCACCGACAGCCAGCAAGCATCCCACTCCGTCCACCCAGCAACCACACCAAACAGCCACCACTCAAACAATCATCGACTGCCCAAACCCAAACCAGCGAAGTCGTCTCAATCCCCGACACCGACTACCCAGCGAAACCACTCAATCACCGAACACCGAACAGCCAGACATCAACTCCTCACCAGACCCAATACACTACCTGCATCAATATACCACACTGAAACAACAATATACCTGCATCAATATACCCAATACACTGCCGAAACAACATATACCACACCGACATATTAAACCAAACCACACCGACATATTAAACCGATACCCAACCCACTGCCCGATACTCAGACCGAACCCATACATATTAAATCCAAACCCAGCCCACTGCCCATCCTCAAACCAAACCAGCAAACAATACCCAATAAACCCAGCCCACCAAAACCCACCAACCCACTATCCATAACCCAACCCAGTTGTCCTGCCTTCGTGCTTCCCGCTCTTCGTCGTAGTGTCGCTATCTCTGCACGCCACTGTCTTTGTTTTCCTGGGTTGCAGCATCTAGAGTTTTTTAAGAGGGATTGAATCCTCTTCTCCGTTAATCTGCTCTTGATACAGTAGATCATTTATTTATATTTACTGAATTTCTGGGCACCGTAACTTAATTATTTGGGAGCTTTCTGGACCTTTTTTATCTATCGCTACAGTTCAACTGATTATTTCTCTGGCTGCGGAGTACTTTTGGCCTCTTCATCAGTTAGATGTGAAGAATGCATTTCTTCACAGTGAACTGAATGAGATTATTTATATGGATGCACCACCGGGCTTTCGTGGTGAGGGGAAGTATGCTGGAAAGGTATGTTGACTGCGTAAGTCTCTTTATGGACTGAAACAGTCACCATGAGCCTAGTTCTCTCGCTTTAGTGATGTAGTTGTACGTTTAGGGTTCACCAGATGTCATTCTGATCATACCTGCTTCAATCGACGGAGTACTTCTGGATAGTGTGTCATCCTTTTGGTATATGTTAATGATATTATTATTACTAGAGATGATGTTTCTGGGACTGCGCAGGCAAGGATCAAAATGTCGTGTCGACACGTCCGAAATGTTTCGGAATTTCAACACTCCGAAACAAAACAGTAGTTGAATCACAAAATTTCAGTGTTTCGGTCGAAACGGTACTGTTTCGGTCGAAACGACACTGTTTCGGACCGTTTTGATCGAAACAGTACCGTTTCGACGAAACAATG